ATACGAAAATCGCGCCAAACGACATACACCCGACGAGCCTGCTCCAGATTCACAGGAGTTCACAGGTTTCACCAGAGTGAGACATGTAAACCGAAACTAGTGAAGCAGCGAATGTCCAAATTGCCCCTTCCCGTCGCCGAACTGCGCCGAACGCGGCTTTACCGATACAATTTTTGTTGTTCAACTATAGGCTTGGAAAAGTTTGGTGCGTGGCACAAGACTTGAACCAGCAATCTCCGGAACAAAGGAGTATAAGACGGCTGCTAATCGCTGATATTACAGGTGAATGTGTAGCTCATATAATCTCACCTACACCTGTAGTTGACATCGTCCAACCTATTGGAGCGGTGTCAGGAGGTAGAATGAGCCTCCTCCAGCTAGCTTGCTCTACCAATAGTGAACGGTTGATGGTCGATCCAGAAGGAAAATAAGCATCGTTAGGAACGGCACAGATGGGCTTATTTCACACCTCTTCAACGACTGATTGCGACAATTCCAATTGTAGCTCAATTTTCACCTTGTCACTCGACTCCATGCTGCTTTCCTCATTTTCCTTTGCAGTCCCGAGAAACACATCTCCACCCATCTGTTCCTGACAGCCATCGCTGTGAACATCGCTCTGAAAATTCAGAAGCATTTCTCAAAGATCATCCCACCCACAACAGATGGTTATCCCATTTTTTGGAGGTGGAAGGCGCGTTTAGTTGCATTGTCACGACAACGAAACCAAAAGTTTCTGAACATAGCAGCAGCCTCACTTGCATGTTGTACTCTTCTTCGGCTCAAATTTTGCGATAGTGAAGATTTGGTGATTTGGAAACTGGACGACTCGAGAGACTGCGCGACGAGGAAAGCACAGGTATTGATCTTGCGAGGATTGAGCGATTGGGCGATTTGGCGATGCAGCGTTTTAGGAGATCGCCAAGTCTCGCAAATGTGCTCTTCTTCGCAGTCGCCAGATCGATACCTTCTTCGCGGTCCAGTCTTTCAAATCGTCCAGTATCCCAAATTGCTGAATCTCCACAGTCGCAAAGTATGAACGCGGCCTTATTGCTCGTATTATATTATTGCATTTATTATTCAAATCAAATCACCCCACATAGACAAGTAAACAAAAAATATATTCCAAGGCGACAATGCGACTTCCCAGAAAATAGGATTATACTACGGCGCTAGCGTAGTTTGGGGACAGTACCACTCGCCAGCGCCTCCCTACAGGGCACATCATGAGTTGGGAATTTTGGCCGAGTTCGCACGACCCTTTTTTTACGAGTTGGTACGACCCCCTTCCCCTTCCCTCACAACAACAAGCAAACACGGATCCCCCTTTACAACGTCCTGAAACAAAAGTACAACCCCCCTCCCGGCGACCAAGTACGACCCGTCCCCCCCCCTTTGGGGATTCCCCAACAACTATGTGCCCCGCCTCCCTATCTTCTCCTCAAAACAAGGTTCACTCGATGGAAACTATACTTTCTCTGCACGACTATC